TATATAAGTTCTTGTTTGTAAGATTTTCAATAAACAAAATTGGCCCTCATTATGGGCACAGCGGGGGTGTACAGACCCGAGAACTCAGCACAGGGATGGTGGGAGCTCCTCATAATGGGCACAGCGGGTGTACAGACCCGGGAACTCAGCACAGGGATGGTGGGAGCCCCTCATAATGGGCACAGCGGGTGTACAGACCCGGGAACTCAGCACAGGGATGGTGGGAGCCCCTCATAATGGGCACAGCGGGTGTACAGACCCGGGAACTCAGCACAGGGATGGGGGGAGCTCCTCATAATGGGCACAGCGGGTGTACAGACCCGGGAACTCAGCACAGGGATGGTGGGAGCCCCTCATAATGGGCACAGCCAGTGTGCGTTGCTGGTAACTAAGGGCAGGAACCCCTAGTCAGATAGAGCCCACCTAATTTCCTGGTTGGAAGATGTTCAGCATCATCCCCTCTCCCCCTTCCCAGCCGGACTGTCCCTGGTCCTCCAATTACATTAATTGGATTTCAGTTCTTCCAATCATAGAGGCTCAGCATCACATGTGGGTGTTACCTAGGGTGGTCTGCATGCAAATGCCCCCTGCCTAGCAATGCCCACTCCTCCAGACCTGCATCCACCTGGCTAGAGATTGTGCTGCAGGAGTGTCTGATAGATAATAGAATTCGGTGGGTGATCTCCCCCTTCCTGTGTTCACACAAACCTAAAGTATCTACTGTGAGAGGACGGGACCTTTACGCTGTGACATTGTTTGCAGGATAGTAGATGCTTTGGACATGAGAGAGGATGTGCAGAAACCCACCAAGAAGCTGGCGCTAGGAACCCAGAGAAAGGTGATTCCTCCCACTAGATCCACATCTTCCATTCTGCTGCTTCTCTACCTTTCAGATAACGTAATGTTATTCCTCTTCCCTTAGCTATGTTTTGCCCTGAGCATGCTGGGTAATCCTGACATTGTGCTTCTGGATGAACCTTCCACAGGGATGGACTCTAAAGCCAAGCAGCAAATGTGGTGAGTACCCGAGATCTATTATTTATATTGTTACAGCATATTCCAAAGCCTAGTGTATAGGACCATGTGCACCGCTTCCCAACCTGTGGAGTCTGTATTCTGTCCTTAATGTCACAGTCATGGTACCAAAGTCAAGGTCATTCTCCCCACTTACCACCAATATAAGGGGCACCTCGCCCATCGAACCCAAAGTAAAGGTCATTCTCCCCACTTACCACCAATATAAGGGGCACCTCGCCCATCGAACCCAAAGTAAAGGTCATTCTCCCCACTTACCACCAATATAAGGGGCACCTCGCCCATCGAACCCAAAGTAAAGGTCATTCTCACCACTTACAACCAATGTAAGGGGGCGCCTCGCCCATTGAACCCAAAGTAAAGGTCATTCTCCCCACTTACCACCAATATAAGGGGGCACCTCACCCATTGAACCCAAAGTAAGGCTCATTCTCCCCACTTACCACCAATGTAAGGGGCAACTCACTAATTGACCCCAAAATAAAGGTCATTCTCCCCACTTACCACCAATGTAAGGGACAACTCACTCACTGACCCCAAAATAAAGGTCATTCTTCCCACCACTGTAAGGGGACACTTTGCCAACTGGCCACCAATGTAAGAAGGACACTTGTCCTTTGATCCCAGAGTAAGAGTCATTCTTCCCAATGACCACCAATGTAAAAAGGCACCTTGGCCAGTTAACCCAAAGTAAGGGTCATTCTCCCTACTGTGAGAGTAGGGAGGCACATTCTTCTCACTAACCACCATTGTGAGAAGACACCTTACATTGACCCCAAAGTAAAGGTCATTCTCCCCACTTACCACCAATGTAAAGGGGACACCTCACCCATTGATCCCAGAATCGGAGTCGTTCTTCCCAATGACCACCAATGTAAAAAGGCACCTTGGCCAGTTAACCCAAAGTAAGGGTCATTCTCCCTACTGTGAGAGTAGGGAGGCACATTCTTCTCACTAACCACCATTGTGAGAAGACACCTTACATTGACCCCAAAGTAAAGGTCATTCTCCCCACTTACCACCAATGTAAAGGGGACACCTCACCCATTGATCCCAGAATCGGAGTCGTTCTTCCCAATGACCACCAATGTAAAAAGGCACCTTGGCCAGTTAACCCAAAGTAAGGGTCATTCTCCCTACTGTGAGAGTAGGGAGGCACATTCTTCTCACTAACCACCATTGTGAGAAGACACCTTACATTGACCCCAAAGTAAAGGTCATTCTCCCCACTTACCACCAATGTAAAGGGGACACCTCACCCATTGATCCCAGAATCGGAGTCGTTCTTCCCAATGACCACCAATGTAAAAAGGCACCTTGGCCAGTTAACCCAAAGTAAGGGTCATTCTCCCTACTGTGAGAGTAGGGAGGCACATTCTTCTCACTAACCACCATTGTGAGAAGACACCTTACATTGACCCCAAAGTAAAGGTCATTCTCCCCACTTACCACCAATGTAAAGGGGACACCTCACCCATTGATCCCAGAATCGGAGTCGTTCTTCCCAATGACCACCAATGTAAAAAGGCACGTTGGCCATTGAACCCAAAGTAAGGGTTATTCTTCCCACTGATCACTAATACAAGGGGTACCCCTAAACCCATTGAACCCAAAGTAAGGGTCATTCTCCCTACTGTGACCCCAAAGAGACATTCCTCTCAATAACCATCATTGTGAGAAGACACCTTACATTGACCCCAAAGTAAAGGTCATTCTTCCCACTTACCACCAATGTAAGGGAACACCTCACCTACTGACTGACCCCTAAGTAAATTTAGATTTCCCGTCATTTTCTGTCCCCAGAGACAATAGTCAGAGGTACAGAGAAGGGTGATTCTCCCCAATGAAGGGGGGGGGGGGGGGGGTTGGTGGGAATCCAAATCTGCACTCATGCTGACGCAGTCCGGGCCATGCAGTCCTGTATCGTACTCTTGGGAAGGGGTGGAGTTTAGGTGACAGTCCAGCGGCATGCAAGGTGCTGCCGGAGATTGGACTCTCGCATCAGCCGTGTTTCTTTGAAACAAACTTTGATTACTTCCATCTCCCATTCCGTGTTATGTTTTCTTCCCCTGTATGACCTTTAACATTGCCGCATGCTAACAGTTCTCATGCGTCGTCCTTTATCACTCTAGGAAAGTCATCAGGTCTACATTCAAAGGGAAGGAGCAGGCTGCTGTCCTCACCACGCATTTCATGGAGGAGGCCGAAGCCGTCTGTGACCGAGTGGCCATCATGGTGTCTGGGCAGCTGAGGTGGGTGGTAGTCCGATATCATAAGACTAGACTGGCGGTCGTGAACTTGGAACGAATCACCCAATCTACATTGTAACGTTTGGGGCAGCTTTAAAGTGTACCTGTTATGCAGTTGAAGAAGGTTTTTCATACCTAACGCCGTTTGATGAACCACATCCAACTTTCTCTGAAATCCAATAAACTGTCTGCGCCTCTCCTCAGATATATCGGGTCCGTGCAGCACCTGAAGAGTAAATTTGGCCGACACTACACCCTAGAGCTGAAGCTGGAAGCAGACTCCGGGACCCAGCAAATGGAGATTCTACACAGGGAGATCCTAAAACATTTCCCCAATGCCTGCCGCCAGGAGAGGTGAGTAATGAAGAAACAAATCTATCTAATAATGAATGTATACAATATATCTCTACACACATACATTGTATATCCCCGTATCATGTAACTGGTTCGCTGCCCCTTCTAAAGTCTCGACAGAGGACAAAATACAGCCAACTGTTCAGAATTCGGCATTCCCAGCAGTATCTTTAGGTTTACTGCCCTGTAAGTTTCATCTGTGGTTGGATATAGAAGTGATAACTTACCGTGTTTCCGTCTTCCAGCTTTGCTTCACTGATGTCATACAGAGTTCCCAAGGAGGATGTACAGTCCCTATCACAGGCCTTCTTCAACCTGGGACAAGGTAACGGTTCTTCTGCTTTCCATACATACTGCTCACTAGAAGAGAGGACACGCTGCATTAAAGGAGAACTATGAGGTCAGGGCTTTTCCCCATAGTTCTCCTCAGGGTAACGGGAGGACACAAACTAGCGTCCTCCCGTCACCCTAAGCTCAGTATATAGGGAGCTACAGCTCGCGGTATACTGAGACGCCGCAGCCGGGACGGATCCCGACATTGCTGTCGAGATCCGCCCAGCTGCGTGATTGACAGCCGGCTCTAGAGGCAGAGCCAGCTTTTCCCGCCCCTTCCCCGTCCGTTCCTCCAGTCAGAGCTGGGGGAATCCCTGCAGGGAGCCGTGAGTGACAGTCACGGCTCTCTGCAGGGAGATGATCGAGAAGTGAGCGAGCGCCGGTATGCGTTCTCTCACTTCCCGATCTATTGAGCCGACATGTCACAGTTTCGTTGTCACACGTCGGCTCGAACTATGACGAGGAGTGATTTTCCCTCACCTCATAGTTCTCCTTTAAATGGTCATTTCAGTGAATGTTTATTATGAATCCGAACTCCAGAAACAAAATAGCGGAAACTGTACAAACTGACCACGGATGTGCAATTCTGTTCAGCCGGTTTTATGAGAGCCGCGGGAGCCCAAACCACCAGCACAACCAGTTCCTCAGCCTCCACTACAGCAGCACTGCTTGGTCAAGGGCACGCCCCCAACCGGCTGATTGGACAGTGAAGGAAGCACTGCTTGGTCAAGGGCACGCCCCCAACCGGCTGATTGGACAGTGAAGGAGCAGCGGCAATTCACTGAATGCGCCCTTCTGCTCACTTTTACTGTCAGCACATGTGCTCTGCAATAGAACCTGATTGGCTTATAGTGCTAGCCCCACCTTCCCCATTTCTGAGTGCAGCTATAAGAGTCTTATGACGAGGTACATTCATGCGAGATGCATTTAATGATACATTTGACTATCACACTCATACGAGCTTGTTGGACATCCAGTTCACAAACCATTGGCATTGTTATGGAGTTGCCAACCCTTTGTGTTATAACAGCCGCCACTCCTCTGGGATGGCCGTATGTAAGATTTTGGAGGTGTCCTGGGAACTTTGTGCTCATTTGTATGGTCAGGTACTGATGGTGGATGAGAAGATCGGGCTCACAATCAGTGCTCCAGGGCTGAGGTCAGGGCTCTGTGCAGGACACTCGGGTTCCTCCACCACACTGGTGACACCGTGTCTTTATGGAGCTGGTTCTGTGCACCTGAACTCAATAAATCCTATGGATCCTCTACATTCCATAAGGCGTTCCTATGTTCCATGGGGTTGAGGTCGGGGCTCTGGCTTAGAGGAACTGGAGTGACCTTCTCAAACTGGTCACACCGTGTCTGTATGGAGCTGGCTGTGTACACGGGGGACAGTCATGGGGGGGGACAGTCATGGGGGGGGACAGAAAAGGGTCTTCACCAAACTGTGACCACAAGGCTGGAGGAGCCCAATTGTCTACAATGTTTTTCATTCTCATCCATTGCGATTTGTGGGTTCTTACCTCAGTGATACTTTCATGACAAGACAATAGAAGTACAAGGTAGGATGCTTTTATTTACCGTAAAATTATTTTCTTGGAGTCTAATGAGGGACACAGAAAGTCTGAAACCTTAGAGTTATACTGCCACCTACAGGGTGATTGGACACCGGCAAACATAAATAACTGAAGGCCAGCCCAGGGCCAAACCCCTCCCACTAGCAGCATGCCTCCATTTCTTTTACCAGTCTCCTAGGAGTGTGGACCCGATTTCTTCAGCTCTTCCCAAAGGTTAAAGACTAACCGCTGAATCCTTCTAGCTAGTTGCCATCGGTTGGTGCTGATGGTTCTATCCGCTGACTCACAGCTCTCCAACAAAGTCATCCTCAGCTTGGCTTATAGACTGGATCACAACCAGCCACAATGAGCCTGTTAGTGACCCTCGGGCATTAGGCTCCGCCTGGGCACTTTCCACATTCAGTTCTGGTCCCGAGCTGCTGCCATTGCCTCTTTGCTTGCCCTGTCTCTGAAGGCTTATTTTGTGAGTAGGCCATTTGGGCCAGCAGCAGGAGCTCCCTGTTTCTACTGTGGATCCATTAATGATTCTCCTGAACAAGGTGACTACTACACCGGTGGAGGATGCTCCCGTGTTCAGGGACCAAACTCAAATGGCTGGATGCCCTTTCTGCAGCTATGTTCTCTTCTAGGGGGTCCTGCCTCACACCCAATCTTGGCTGTAATCTTCCTTTGCCAAACAATGTCTGAATGGTCCAAATTCCTTCTAATTGATCCCAATTCTGCTGCCATTGACCCTCAGATCATTGAGCGTGGGGAACAGAGGGATGTGGTGGTAAACTTTAGCTGCAATGGCCTGTTAGAAGCTTCCTGGCTTGTGTCCCGCGACAGACTCTTTTCAGTGTATATGGATAGGGCTCTTTGGCTAAAGTCCTGGCTTGCAGAACCTTCTCGCAAGAAGCCAAGTAATCTCCAGATATAGGTGCACCCCCACTTTCCAGAGTGGGGTGACCTTTGTGGCCAACTAGATGTCTTGCATCCCAAATGCTTGGGTGCCCAGAGATGGGGTCTTAGTGCTACAATCTC